CTTAGGCTTCGTTGCATATATATATTTCCCTTTTTCCCTTTCTTTTCCCTTTTCCCTTTCCCTTTCTTTTTCCCTTTCCTTTTTTCCTTCTTCCCTTTTATTTCCCTTTTTTGTATTTTTTTGTTTTAAATATAGTTTCAGGCAAAATAAATTAATAAAAAAACTTATATATTGTATATTTTTGTTTCGTAATGAAAATTCTAAAGATAATTTTTGTTATTTATATAGTTTTATATTTTTCTAATGACTGGCGGATGTTTTTTTTTAAGCAGAGTTGCATTCTTGTAAGTAATCCATTTTCTATATAATAGTTTGCAAAAATCGGCGAAGGAGGAGGAGGTGTATGTTTGTTCCCTTGAGAAACTTTTCTTCTCTGAGACTAAGGGTTTTCACTAATCCAAGTGGAAGTTGGACTAGTGAAAACCCATATGTCGTCTCACGCTATATATATATATATATATATATATATATATATATATATATATATATATATATATATATATATATATATATATATATATATATATATATATGTCGTACCTAGTAGCCAGAACGCACTTCTCAGCCTACTATTCAAGGCCCGATTTGCCTAATAAGCCAAGTTTTCCTGAATTAATATATTTTCTCTAATTTTTTTCTTATGAAATGATAAAGCTACCTATTTCATTGTGTATGAGGTCACTTTTTTTTTATTGGAGTTAAAATTAACGTAGATATATGACCGAACCTAACCAACCCTACCTAACCTAACCTAACCTACCTTTATAGGTTAGGTTTGGTTAGGTAGTCGAAAAAGTTAGGTTAGGTTAGGTTAGGTAGGTTAGGTAGTCGAAAAACAATTAATTCATGAAAACTGGGCTTATTAGGCAAATCGGGCCTTGCATAGTAGGTTGAGAAGTACGTTCTGGCTACTAGGTACGACATATATATATATACATATATATTGGGCGTCTCCCACCCACCTATTCACCGCCCACACTGTGCGTGTTGCAGAGATGTGTCACCCACCATGTACCCAGATATGGCACAGGTCACAGCAGGCATTCCGGTTCCTCCCAAAAGGGAGGGAGACACACGTACCCACATGAGTGGTGAGGGCGAGGGACAGCTAACCACCCCTGCTGCCACCACCTGTGTCCACCCTCCCTCGCCCCGGCGATGTCACAGCCCCCGCGGGGGATGGAGGGGACTCTCCCAACTAACCAGGAACCCCTCAGCTAAGAACACGGTCCTGGGAACAATGCACCCAGAGGCACACGCAGACCCAGAGGAAAGTGTCGGGTTTGTGACGAATCTCACAGCCTTAGAGTTCAACCACATAGGCTGGACGGTAGAGCGACAGTCTCGCTTCATGCAGGTCGGCGTTCAATCCCCAACTGTCTAAGTGGTTGAGCACCATTCCTTCCCCCGTCCCATCCCAAATCTATATCCTGATCCCTTCCAAGTGCTATATAGTCGTAATGGCTTGGCGCTTTCCCCTGATAATTCTCTCTCTCTCTCACAGCCTTAGAAACGATGGAACCCTATACAGACTCAACGGCTGTGAGAGTACATGAACGGAACCTGTAGAGAGAGAAGGCCCACAGGTCCCCCCGGCACCCCCACACATCCCAGCAAACTTCATGTCATCAGATGACCTCCTGGGGGCCATCAAAGCATCCACCACCAGAACTCTTCCCCACATTCCTAAAGCAGCGCGCCCATTTGCAGCAGGGAAATATACAGACCTTCTAAGGAAAGTGAATGAACGGTCTGAAAATCTTAATGCTGCAGCCACCATCAAAGCATGGCATAACTTGCTCCTGTTTGGCAATATTTGCTTAGGCATACCTGCAAGAGGAGGCTCAGCAGGGGGATACACTGGAGTAAGACCTCAGCACCTCAAGGAGATGACAAACCCAGTTCTCAGCGAAGTTGCCGAGACACTACTGTCAGAGGTCACGAAGTTTGTCAACGACTGCCTCTCTGGGCTGATCCCAGATACAATTAAACCCTTCTTCTTCGGAGCATCCCTTTGTGCCCTTAAGAAGAAGGATGGTGGAGTCAGACCCATTGCCGTGGGTAACACACTTCGGCGCCTTGTTGCTAGGGCAGCTGTCAGAAAAATTAGCATAGAAGCTGCAACGATGCTTCGACCCCATCAACTAGGTTTTGGTGTCCCCCATGGCTGTGAAGCAGCAGCTCATGCAGCACGAGCCTATATTAAGCACCTCCCAGAAAATAAGGCATTAATTAAATTAGACTTTAAAAATGCCTTCAACCAGGTAAAAAGGGATGTGGTACTGGAAGCAGTTCGAACAAGCTTTCCTTGTCTACTCCCCTTCGTTTCAGCAGGGTACAGTAGGGAATCGACACTGTTGTTTGGGGAACATGAAGTTGTTTCCGCAGAAGGTGTCCAGCAGGGAGACCCACTTGCCCCTTTCCTTTTCTGCATGGCAGCTAAAGAGGTCACAAGCAGGTTGTCCAGCGAATTCAACATCTGGTTCCTGGACGATGGCACCCTGGCAGGGACACAGGAATCCCTGCTAGGAGATCTACAGCTAGTGAAATCTAAGGGAGAGGAGTTAGGCCTTACCCTAAACCCATCAAAGTGTGAAATCATCTCATCCAGCCAACCAATCATAGATGCAGTACGAATCTTATTGCCAGGAGCCCCAGTGATCGCTCCCACCAACAGTGTGCTGCTAGGGGCACCTCTGGGCTCGAGCGCCATTGAGGTAGTCCTCGAAGAAAAGCTGAACGACCTGAGGAGGATGGAGGGAAGAATAGGGGCTTTGGATGCTCACGATGCTTTGTACCTTCTCACAAGGTGCCTGGCTTTGCCCAGACTTACCTATTTCCTCAGGTGTGCTCCCTCCTTCGACAGCCCAAAATTAACGGAATATGACTCACTCCTAAAGTCAATAACTATGAAAGTGTTAAACCTCTCCCTGCAAGATGACCAGTGGGACCAAGCAACGCTCCCAGTTAGACTCGGGGGTATAGGTATTCGCAAGGCGACACAGTTAGCATTGCCGGCATTCTTATCCTCGACCAGTGCTACAAGTGAATTAGTGAATGAAATACTACCAGAATACCTAAGGAACTCCATTGGGATTCATGATCCCAAATTTGTGGAAGGAGCTGGTCAGTGGGACACTCTTGCCAATTCACACCCTCGACCAACTTTTCCAAACGACGGCAAACAGGCCAAATGGGATAGCCCCATAGTGGAGAACATCGCCAAAGCATTGCTGGAGGCAGCTTCTGAGAAGGACAGAGCGCGTCTCCTAGCTGTGCAAGCCCCCCATGCCGGGGACTTCCTGTTGGCAGTCCCTAATTCCGCCTTGGGCACCCGCCTGGACCATCGGGCCCTAAGTATTGGTGTTGCCCTGCGCCTTGCCGCCCCTATCTCCACCGAACACCGGTGTATTTGCGGCCATGCACGGGCAGACCAATACGGCAGCCATGGTCTCATCTGTCGTAAGACACAGGGAAAGATTGCCAGACATGAAGCAGTCAATGACATCATCAAGAGAAGTTTGGCTACAGCTGGGTGTCCAGCACAAAGGGAACCTCAGTTGTGCAGACCTGACAACAGCCAAAAACGCCCAGATGGAGTCACCCTGCAGCCATGGAGGGAAGGTAAACAGGTCGTATGGGATTACACGTGTGCATCTACATTGGCTGATACCTATCTACCTTACAGCACAGCTGAGGGAGGCGGGGCAGCCACCTTCAGGGAGACCCAGAAAACCAACAAGTACAGAGACCTAGAACGTTGTTACAGGTTCGTGCCGATAGGCTCTGAGACTCTGGGCGCCTGGGGTAAATGTGCACTTAAGTTCTTAAAGGAGGTGGGCGAGGAACTCATTGGGAAAACTAAAGACTCACGAGCGGCCAGTTTCCTGTTCCAGCGCCTCAGTGTCGCAGTTCAGAGGGGAAATGCGTGCTGTATCCTGGGTACGCACCCAACCTCCGAGGAGCTGGACGAGGTCTTCGAACACTGATTGTTATATTATATATATATATATTCAAATACGAATTTAACTTACTTTAATTAAACTTTCAAACTCCTCAGAAGGACTTGCAGCTGTTTCCAATCTGATTTGACCAACACGTTATGTGCCCTGGTTTAAGTTACTTTAAGAGCTCTCTTACATTATCAAATCAATTTACCTTATCAAAAACGTTACTAAAGTTTATAAGTATCACACAGTCTTTACCATTATTCACTCCTTGTATGCTTGTAGAAAGCTTAAAGCAAACTCTTCAAGCAGATCGTCTTTGGGCAAAGCCACGTTGAGAATCTTCAATTAATTTGGGTTTTTACAAGATGATTACGAATGGCATTTCCGATAATCGCTCGCTGAAAGTTATCCCACTTTTCACATTAGTATAACCTAATTAGACGATAAATAGATGCTGATGCTTTACCCTCTTCTTAAGAATCGAAAATACATTACCACTTCTGGCACAGTGCCCAACCCCCTAATGATATATTTAATGGTCGTCGAGAGGGTTATCTTAGACTCTCCTTTCATTCTTTTAATACCGAAGAAATATTTCGTCGAGACCTGGCTCTAGTAATTATTGTTTTTTTAGGTTTTTGTTTTTAATACTCTCTTCCCCGAGCGGTAGACTGATGGTCTTTACAAGGTCAGATTACCGTCAACAACAGTCACAAGCTCTTTGCATTCCTTCCGTCCGCCCACACAATCCAGCTCCTTGTAATCATGATCTCTCTTAATGATATATTATCATCTTTGTTGCCTGCTTTCTCTATTAATAACCTGAACATTTCCTAGTAATTGTTAGTTAACTAATCCCTGTTCTCTCAGTAAACTTGATCAGCTGAAGTTGATTTTTATTTATATCAGACATGAAGGGAGTCACATAGTGGGAACAGTTGAGAGGTTGAAGATGGAAGGGATTGAGGAGGTCTCATCCTGGTATGTTTAGTGAGAACTAAGCATCCGTCAATTAGGGAATGTCTCGGTCCATCGGTATTAATCAATCAGCCCGTCGTCAACTTCTCAACTCAAGTCTTACAGGCACGCCGAAGCGGCCTCCATCAACCACCCGCCTCCATCAACCACCCGCCTCCATCAACCACCCGCCTCCATCAACCACACGCTTCCATCAACCACACGCCTCCATCAACCACCCGCCTCCATCAACCACACGCCTCCATCAACCACCCGCCTCCATCAACCACACGCCTCCATCAACCACCCGCCTCCATCAACCACCCGCCTCCATCAACCACACGCCTCCATCAACCACCCGCCTCCATCAACCACACGCCTCCATCAACCACCCGCCTCCTTCAACCACCCGCCTCCATCAACCACACGCCTCCATCAACCACCCGCCTCCATCAACCACCCGCCTCCATCAACCACCCGCCTCCATCAACCACCCGCCTCCATCAACCACCCGCCTCCATTAACTACACGCCTCCATCAACCACCCGCCTTCATCAACCACCCGCCTTCATCAACCACCCGCCTCCATCAACCACACGCCTCCATCAACCACCCGCCTCCATCAACCACCCGCCTCCATCAACCACACGCCTCCATCAACCACCCGCCTCAACCACACGCCCATCAACCAACCGCCTCCATCACACACGCCTCCAACCACCCGCCTCCATCAACCACCCGCCTCCATCAACCACACGCCTCCATCAACCACCCGCCTCCATCAACCACACGCCTCCATCAACCACCCGCCTCCATCAACCACCCGCCTCCATCAACCACCACCCGCCTCCATCACCACCCGCCTCCCACCCGCCTCCATCAACCACACGCGCCTCCATCAACCACCCGCCTCCATCAACCACCCGCCTCCATCAACCACCCCGCCTCCATCAACCACCCGCCTCCATCAACCACATGCCTCCATCAACCACCCGCCATCAACCACCCGCCTCCATCAACCACACGCCTCCATCAACCACACGCCTCCATCAACCACCCGCCTCCATCAACCACCACCCGCCATCAACCACCCGCCCATCAACCACCCGCCTCCATCAACCACACGCCTCCATCAACCACACGCCTCCATCAACCACCCGCCTCCACCCTCTCTCCTCTATGACAATTACTTTGACCTTTTTTTTCTACCCACATCAATCCATCCTCAACTGTCATTACGCGTTCAGGCCTGTCATCACATGTCCCTGTCATTCCGTCCTCATACTTGTCATCACGTGTCCCTGTCATTCCGTCCTCATACTTGTCATCATGTGTCCCTGTCATTCCGTCCTCATACTTGTCATCATGTGTCCCTGTCATTCCGTCCTCATACTTGTCATCACGTGTCCCTGTCATTCCGTCCTCATACTTGTCATCACGTGTCCCTGTCATTCCGTCCTCATACTTGTCATCACGTGTCCCTGTCATTCCGTCCTCATGCCATTATAGCAGTGAGACAGATATTGGCACAATTATTTGTGCCATTGATATTGATCATTTGATATTGATCAAAATTACTCCACAATCAACTCATCCGACATAGATATGACTTCAAAGGGACTCAAAATATCTATCAGTCAGCATTTTGTCTACTCTGTGATATTCGTTCATAATTCCATCTATCTGAGGGGGGGGGGGAGTTGTATCCCTGCTTTTAGTAGTTGTATTGTATGCTGTAGTCCTGCTACATCAATATATTCATCATTCGTTCTTAACTTGTATTTCCCGTTCTTAACTTGTATCGTTATAGTATATCTGGACCATCGGAAATGACTCCGAGGTGCCGTATGGCCCGTCGCCTCCTGGTTGAGGGCGAGAGGCGACCACTGTGGTGTAGCCTCCCCACGACGTTGTACAGGAAGTTGGTGCTCTGTTATGTCTGTCTAGTAAATTAAATTTGGGATCATGACAAGACGAGTCCTGTGAGTAAGAAACAACTACAGAGTTCACTTGGAAGGACTGAACGTTAGGTTGTGTTGAACACTGTGTCTTTACCATGTCAGTCTTGCCCTAATGTTGTGGAAGTCTGTGGCTTCAGAGAGGTGCATTCCACTTGGCCTCCTTCTCAGGAGCCAAGAAGTTTCCTTAGATTTCTTCTACTCATTTGCGTTTCCAACTTCCACTTCTGTCCTCTTGTCCTATGTCCTGTTCATTTAGAGAGTTTGGCTTTGTTCACCGTGTTTGTTCCAGGCCATGATGTATATACGAGTATTTGTATGAAGTGGATTGTATAAATATTTTCTTAAATGAGTCTTTATTTAGGTTCTTAAATGCCATTCAAATGTTTGTCAACTTTTCATATGTTCCTGACGCTAGTCTGTTTATGTGTGCCTCTGGGGTTAGGGTTAGAACTAAAATCTTTCTCTTTCCGATTTTTGTAGATGCCTTCCAGTGTTTATGTTAGCACCTCCTGGTCTTCTTTCTATCTTCCCGTTTTCATCATCGTACATTCGTTTGGATTAAATTTTGACAGTCATCTGTCTACCTACCCTGGATTATGGCACGGTGTTCCTGTAGTTTTATACAGTCATCTCCAGCTTTCGTATTCCTCATTTGCAGCTGCGTTATCTACAAACACTGCAACCCGTTCTCAATATTGGGTTGCAAACACTGCAACCCAATACCTATAATAGGTTAAGTAATAATTGTAATTATAAAGCAATAAGATGCTTATCTTAACATACTAAGAAGGTTAGGTAAGGTCGGTGTTTTCTATGAAGCTTTTCAAGGTAAACTATTATGTTTAGTATGTCACATTTGCACGTATTAAATAAGTCAATATTGACTATACGAAAGTGCGAGAACGGGTTGAAAATTGACATGTGCGCACTCGCTCCACCGGTCAGGTAGCTTCCCAGTCCATCCTTCAAATGTTTACCAACGTAATTTCCAACAAGTAGGAACAATGATGGAGCCAGGAACGACCCAAGAGCAGCTCATTTCCTCCATCTCGAAACCTCATCCTGGACTGTGACTCCTTGTTTTCTGTCCTCCTGTTAACCCTTACAAGCTCAGTGTCTTTCTCAGTTATCCCTTTTTGCTGTACCATCTTGTACAGAAGCCTTTCATGAAGGCGGCATCAAATGATGTGTTCATAATCTAGAAAGATACACTAGTCTACCCAACCTTACTTGCCCCGTCTCATATAAGTATTCCTGTCACAGAACACGACCAACTGCGGCAATCACATAAACAAGGGAGCAGAGTGATGGCAAGGCCTGGCCACCAGGGACCTTACTGGCCATATTCCACCAGCCCGACACCCTCTGTCTGTGTCCGGCTGTGCTTCACCAGATATCCCACTTTGTCTGTGCTCTTAAAAAAAGCCTCTCCCGAGGAAAAAGAATAAAATCCATTTGTTATACTCTCGTAAGATACAGTCCAGTGAGTTATCTTTATCCTGTCGTATTTTGGTGATCTTGTTATGTAATTCGACGGTGGAGGAGGTGAGAGAGAGAGAGAGAGGGGGGGGGGGTAGGTGGTGGGATGGGGGGAAGGATGAAGGGGGAGAGGAGGGAAAGGTGTCAGGGGATCCTCGGGTGTCAGGGGTCTAGGTTAGGTATCAAGAGATCCCTCAGCAATGTAAATTCTATTTAAATCCCCTGGTGTTGTCCTGTCATGAGTACTACTCAGTACTCACTTCCCCGTTCACAGCAGGAGAGAGATTTCTCTGAATTAGAGGGAATACAGAGGACATACATCTAAATTATTGGGACCGTCTCAAACCTCTCGAAATGTGCTATCTGGAAAGGACACGTGAAAGGCATCAAATAAGATATACATGGAAGCTATAAGATATACATGGAAGCTATAAGATATACATGGAAGCTATAAGATATACATGAAGCTATAAGATATACATGAAGCTATAAGATATACATGGAAGCTATAAGATATACATGAAGCTATAAGATATACATGAAGCTATAAGATATACATGGAAGCTATAAGATATACATGAAGCTATAAGATATACATGAAGCTATAAGATATACATGAAGCTATAAGATATACATGGAAGCTATAAGATATACATGAAGCTATAAGATATACATGAAGCTATAAGATATACATGAAGCTATAAGATATACATGAAGCTATAAGATATTCATGGAAGCCATTACGACTATATAATTCAAAAGGTGAAGGGGGTTGTAAGAGGGAGAGAGGAAGAACGATCGAGAAAACAAACACACGAACGATAAAACGAAACGAACGAAGGAGGACACGAACAAACGATCGAACGAAAGAGAAAGTAAACTAACTAAGGAGATATACGATGGAGAACTTGAAGGCGCGAGTACCCGTTCGTAATCAAGTCCTGTTTGATCGTGCACTGTAATATAATAAAATATTGAGTACTTCTCATGACTGTATTCTATTACAAGTCTACTGTGATTAAAAACAATAAAACAAAACAAGTAAAGCAATATTTCCAATCGAGAGAAAATTGCGTTTGCATTTTATTCAGTTTTTTCTTTTAAATAACGAATAAAACGCATGTGACAAATACGATAATTAAAGGTAGTTTATTCGTTATCATCAAATAATAACTCGATTAACAAAAAAAAAGTATTGACGTAATCAATCGTAATTTGCTTCTTCTTCCGAGTTAAAAAAAAAAAACAGATGAAAGTGTTTCAACCCATTTCTGATGAGCCTTTGTGAGTAGTGTATGTGTGACGTGTATATATATACGCCTGTACACGCGTGTATACGCCTGTACACGCGTGTATACGCCTGTACACGTGTATGCATCAATTCTAACCTTGTTAATTGAAGTCATGATTAAATTAGATTCTATTCGCTTGCTCAAACACTGCGAATTCGAGAGATTTATTAAAATGTAAATTATTGCAAATGAAGCTAGAATGCAAATGGAATCTTTTTCCCCCATGTAATATATAATTTATATTCTTTCATATTCCTTGTTTACAGCGATAGTTTGGGTAATGTGGGCGGTGCAGGAGATACGCACGAGGGCAACACTGAGCTGTCTCTCAAGACACGATTTTTAACGCAAAAGTTCCTTAGAAAATGATTGAATTTGTGCGCTATTAGCCTTGACAATGTTGTTAAAACAACCCCTCTGTCCTTACACTTACTACAACGACCAGTCCGCTGGAAATGAGACGCATTAGTTAAAAATTAAAGCGCCGTAATACCGATTTTTTTTATCATGTATCATCATCGATAGGTTTTGTGAGATGTGTGAATTCGTATGTTTATGAATAGACAAAAACAGTTGATATTTTTTACGGAGTGGCAGGTCGAGAGAACGGACTGCAGCGTTAGAGGATCCTGTTTCATTTGTGTGTTTGTGTTTCCCGTTTCCCCGTTTCATCATGAAGCCGTTTATGAGGCAACAGTCAGACTCCCAGACGACACACCAATTACGCGTCCTTGGCAGGGTATTCCTGGGTCTTATATTACCTCGCTGACGTTGCTCCACCCATTACGTTCTTTGACCAATTATGTTGCTTAACCCATTATGTGTTCTGTGATTCATTACGCTCCTTCACCCATTTACGTTCTTTAACCCGTTAAGTTCCTTGATCCGTTACGTTCCTTAATCCATTGCGTACCTCGATCTATTACGTTCCTCAACCCATTAAGCTCATTTTGTTTTATTTTTATGTTTCAAAATGCTGTTTTTAAAGCAATATTTCGATGCTCTCCGATTTCCATATATTGTTTACATATTTCTACTTAACATAGCAATAGTTATAACTATTTTGATAATTTATAAAATGTAAAAAACATTAATAGTAATGTTGACCAGACCACACACACTAGAAAGTGAAGGGACGACGACGTTTCGGTCCGTCCTGGACCATTCTCAAGTCGATTGTGAGAGTGGTCCAGGACGGACCGAAACGTCGTCGTCCCTTCACTTTCTAGTGTGGTCTGGTCAACATATTTCGGCCACGTTATTGTGACTCATCGCCTGCATTAATAGTAATATCAACAAAATAATATTATTGCTATTACAATAAATATTATCATATGATATCAATCTACTCAGCGACACACTTTATCATTTTCGTCGTAGCCTTTGTTTGCCTTGAATAAAATCGATTCCTTTCACCTCTATATCATATGAATAAAACGTTACATTTCTCA